TGTCCCTCCATCTAGTCCTTACTTTGGTTCCGTCCGACTGCCTATCTGGTCTGCTCTTGACTTAAGATTTCCCTAAATGATAGCAATTTTTCCAAACATTGTTAAATAAAAGTCTCACCACCTTATTTTTTACTAAATTTGTCGGATTTGGCGGACGAATGGCACAGCATCGTCAATTATGTCGTCATTCCTCTCCGCCGACTGAGCCACACATCAGGACGCCTTTCTCGGATGCCACTTTGATCGGAGAATGAGCAGATGCATGGACAGAAGCAAACACCAACAGCGAGGGATACAATGCGTGGGAGGAGAGCAAGACTGGTGTAATCATTTATTTGACTTCATATATCGCCACCTTAATCCGATGGTGGTTATAACTACTTAAATTGATAAGTAGGTAGCCTCTCTCAACATTGCCGAATTTTTGCCAGGACTTGCTCTACCAATTAGCAGAATATGCTTTTCAGAGCTTAAACACTTCATAAAATAGATTATCTGTAAAACCCGAAAAAAATTTTGAAAATCAAGAATGAATAGTTCCATGGCTCTTACCTGGTGCTTGCTGACAGCAGTTGCGCTTTCTGATGGGTTGTATTGGCTTTGCAATCATCATATTTAGAGATCCCATGCTTTTAAAATGAAGCCTGAATTACAATAAGTTCAATTTGAATGTATGAATCACGATAGGCTTAGAACGTCATGGGCAATGTTAAGTTTATGGAATCGCCAATTTTTTGAGCATTTAGTGTAATTGCTTGTAGGCATCTCCCCTCCATCCATCCGTTTCTTGAGGTGGGCGAAAACCTAGATCTACGTGCCTTCGCCTCTAAATATCTATCAGATTCTCTACCTTTCTGCCTGTCTGTTGATCTATCCATCTTCTCTAATCAATTGTGGTTGAAAAAACAAGCCTCAAGCACATAACAGGGCTGATATCAGAATTTTCGAAAACTATACATGTCGAAAAATAATACTACTGTGGGGTAATTCATACGAAATGAAGTTTTATCAACCAAAATTACCATCTACTACATGGACATTGACGATCACCAGTTGGCCGTCAACTGCCGCCTTCTGGGAAATGCAAAGTGTGAATCCCGATGTGATGCCAGTGATTTGGCACAGCTCCTCCACGCTCCCACAGATTGTGCTTGTATAAATAAGTAAGACCGAGCGGCCGCATCTCTCTTTACCGTATCAGAGGGATTTGGGCCGATTTCTGTATCGAATGACCAACATATTGGCCCAAAACCCCTAAAACACACGCCCATTTTGCTATATACTTAGTCGCTCCTTTCCCTCTTGCTGAGCTAGCAGTTGCGCCACTTACGGGGCTTGAAATGATTTCTAAGGTGTAAAATTTATTGTCTTGCATGTACTAAATCCTCACCAGCAGAAGTGAGATGCAAAGGCTGCAATCCTCTTTAAAACTCCTGCAAAAACGCTCCTCAGCATAAATCCGCATCCGACAATTTAAAAGTCCGCACAAGGCTTCGGCTTTGGAAAAGTCAAGAGTCTCTTTTGAAAAGAAGATAAATGGCCTTGTAAATAGAGATTATGTTTCGGCAAAATGGCACTCATTCATTCTACTGAAGGCGGGGAATGGATATGGAACATGGCAGTCCAGCCTTCCTTGTCTCGTTCACATTCGGTCATCGGATCGTTCTTATCACTTCTTAGTAAAACTAAGTAAAGTTCTTCCAGAACCCTTCAAAAGCTTTCCTAGTTATACCTTTGTTGGTAATATTTTGCCTACCTAACAAATTTGACACCAGCGTCACATATGTGTGACACCATGACTTTCTTGCCTGACTTCGGTGTGACGAGTATGTGACACCTATTCTTTATCAGCTTGTGACAGATATTTACGGGAACTGGTGTTGGAAACAGATTGGTCTAGATTGACCTAACTAAAGTGGCTAATAACATTCACAATCTGTTTGGGACCTGGCCAAAAGAGGACTGATGTAATTGGTGATGTAATTGGTACCCCATGAGCCGTAGTAATTCATTCCCATTAAAGACGCAGTATATCATTGCGTAAGGGAGGTGCGTCTTAACCTCAGAAAATGTCGGCATTTTCCTTGCGGTGTACCGAACTTTTATTGTTGAAGTTAAGGAATAAACATTCACGCGCCTCCTATGATCTTCTGTCGGACGATTATACGCACTTTGCTCAGTGGAAGACCGCTATAGTTCCGAACAAATGCAAACTCAACACGCGTTTTCAATCTTTAATGCTCTTCTCTTTCTGCATGTGCCATCGCCTAGTAATTGCAAGTGGACTTCCGGAGCGCTTCTCGTCTGCCCCACCAGGGTGGCCAATTTCGAACTGTTTAATTCGCTCGCAGACGCCTCTACGAGGACTGATGACGCAAGTCCATCGTGTTTGGTGACTTTTTCATTGTCACTTGCTATGCGCGGTAATCTGCAATACTGGACGGAAGCATTCACGTGACAAGTCCAGATCGGACTAATTGCTGCGCCTCCATTGCTCAAGAGGGCTCAATAGCGTTTCTACAGCTGGGTAAGATTCATTTGTTGGATGAATAATGCACGATTAAGTTTCCTGACATCAACTGACGCCCACAAATGGAAGTGAATAGTTGTGTAAAGGAATGGTATTTGTTCAAACGGTGTGTTTAATCGCGCTGGTTTTTCACCAACCTGTAGCCTTACAGCTCGTCCCTGAGATTGAAATAATCAACTGCCTCAGAATTATGAGTCTTCGAAAACGCGACTTCTACAAGGCGTTCCAGGTTAGGAGGATTTAGCAATGCAGTGTATCATACATTTCATAACTCCCACTTTGTCCACTAGTTAACATCGCATTCCACATGTCCTGAAGTGCGCTGATTGGCGTTCCTTCTCTTGATGGTCCGGCTCAGCGCCTTTGAGCGTCATCACGGTGGCATGGATTTCTGGTCAGTTAATATCTTTTAACACCCCACCAGTGCTGTTCACCCTCCTTCATCGTTTAACGCCCTGGGAGGGAGAGACGAGGAGGCAATCGGGTGTGGCGACTCTACTTACTGCTAAAGATTGTTGAATGCGCATTCCAGACTGGGACACCAGACCCAACCACCACAGAAGGAGGTCGAGCGATGTGCAAGTCTGATGCTTAAAGTTCGAGTCTGGACGGACTCCTAGAAGATGGACATGCAAAGATGCGTCCACGTAGGGCAATCAACTAGATCTCGTGCATTGCAATATGGCCATTAAGGCACGCCGAAAGGCAATTTTGCAGGCGTCTACTGTGCAGCTGACCCCGCAAGTTACAGGATGACAGCTGAGTTGTCGCTCCGGTTGATTGGATGGGACCCAAAAAACCAAATAAACTGAGTGGCAATGAAATGAGAACGCGGTGTTTGAGAGGCATGAATGCCAGAGGCTAGCTCTTTGATGCTATTTTGTGTTCTGCTTAGGTGCTTGAGTGCTTCGCTGAATGACTGCTCTGAGGTAGCTGTTGCTACTAGCAGCAATTCGTGCATAAATTGTGCTAAGCACCAGGCTAGAGAAAATTCTAACCATGAAGTTCACAAGGCGAATGAATTTGTAGGCTCATCAGATTATTCGAGATTTGGCACTGACTGTGGGGTTAAGTTCGCTTGTGCTCAGTATAAAACCGATGTAGCAACTGCTTCTGACTCGTGGGTGCCTCTTTAAGGCACCGGCTACACTGTGTGACTCCTGTTGCAGAAGAGCTACCATCAAAAGCGCTGAGGCAGAGGTTAGGTGGAAGGGTGATGGATGTGCTTTATGTTCCTGAGGACCTGATCCCCAAGAAAACGCTTTACTTTCTAGGGATAGCTCAGGTGGATTCACTTTTGCCATCTGTGCAAGACCGCTAAGCAAACCTTGTTTTGCTGAATTCCAAAAACGGGCCAATTTTAATGAGGAAGGATAAATTACTTAAACTGCAGTTCCATATTAATGAAGTGGACTTTTGGTGTCAATGGCTCCTCACTGGGGGGATCAGGCGTTGACCCATTCGGTGAAAATAGGAATGGAAAAATTAAGGAGAGAATAACGTTGCTCGAAAATTTATTGTCGGTTTCTCATGAGAACTACAAAGGTAAAACAAAAATTGCGATGCTTTGCTGCTGCACAAAGTGTACGACACTGAAAACCATTGTCAGGTGGAAGAGGGCTTTAGGGATTTACCTTGACGCGCCTTTTTCTCTCCCCATCCGAGTCTTCAATGCAAACGCTGCAAAATGAACGATTATGCTGAGGCACACTGTTGGTGGAAATGGCACAAGTGGAAAAAAAGGAAAGATGCTACAGGTACAACCACATGATAAACTTCACTTTGCCATTTGCCACTCTTTTGTACCTCGTCTCCTCTCACTCTTGGTCAACACGTACCGCATTCATTGCCTCAACAATTCTCCATGGGTCATGAAGGTAGGCTATAAGACGGTTCGCAAACCGCCATATCACTGACATCTCTCGTCAAATTCGATGGATCCGCTGTCCTGTTCGCCTTGCAAGGTGTGATGTGGGAGTTCGGTGATTTGGCACTGTTCAAGGCGGAGCGATGCTCTACAAAGGGTGAATGTTATAAGGTGTTTTGCCCACCCTACATTCAGATGCCAAAAAATTGCAGACGGTGACAGCTTTATGACACCATTCTTTAAATCCGGTTTCGCTTTACTAATCACATGCGTTTCTGCGGGGATTTGAACAAATTAGTCAGGATTTTGTTCGTTTAAATTAGATTGTTCTACCGCTGCCAACAAAGCGGCGCCTGAGACCTTCGTGAGAGGTTTTTCAACAGGACTCCGCCGAGAGGGTAGCCAAAACCGTGGCGGCGGCAAAAGTGCCTGGTACAACTAGGAAACGCGATGACGGTGATTATACCACCCATAATAAGAGGCTCTCAGCCCTTTCTTCCCAGGCGTTTCGATGCTAATCGGGGGCTGGGTTAGTAGCTCCATGTGGCGCTTTACCTGGCAGCTTATGGACAAGTGAAGGCTGTGGACACTTGCCCAAAGGATTCAAAGTTGACCTACTGTTTATTATGTGAGACTGTTATAGAAGAAAATGTTTGTTGTTGTCAAATGCGTTTATGCAGACTCACAGCGGAACATTTCCTGTTCGCCTAATTCACTAGGGGTTCGTAATGAAGCCAAAATGCAGTTTCCAAGATGCTGAGGAGGCTAAGAAAAGAACTGTCTTCCCTGAGAATATCAACAGATTCTATCAAACTTTGTTGAGCCAGTCTTCTTAAGGCGGTTCATCGACAGAGATCCTGGGAGTCAAAGTACATCTAAATTCGGTGAGGTTTGCCACAATCTTTACGTTTAAAAATCTATCTATAGCCTTCCGAGTCTTTCCTGAAGTCGAGATAAGGCATATTACTGGCTTAGAGAAAGTCAGAGAGGCTACCAGCATGACCTGAAAACCATAGCACCGAGCCGAAGCACAATCTGCGGAGACTTAAACGCCCACGAAGCCAAAATGTTGAGCAAACAAACAAAGCATTACACAGCCCCCCCCCCCCCCCTCGCGGTCTTTTGAGTATCGTCCCCGGCGCTCCTCCTGGTCAACTTTTCGCGTCGATCATCATAACGTGGTTGGTGCTGTAAGGACAGCACCCACGAAGCGACCGCGCCAGTCATCCAATTCGCGTGCAACTGAGAGGTTATCTGACATCAAAGTCACTGCTCACTTTTGTAAATTTTTCTGGATCTAGATTCCCCCCGGTTTGGAAACCGTATTGGGGAAAAGTGGGGGTGGGGGACTGTGGAGGTTATCACGTAGGAAAGCTGATTCATAAGCAGGGTCGTTTATTAAGAGACGGACGCCTTTATTCCTGCTCACTCCCTAAGCGTCTATCTGTCTGGGTTTAACCCAGCTTTTGGAGAAGTAAAGGAGGTGTCGCTTGTCCACTTCAGTGACATATATTGGTGTCACAGAGAGCTCTGTAACGAACTTTCCAGATGATTTACGGCTGGTGTCGCTTTAATTGTCAATAGCATTCCTGTAGAAGACGACAGTGGGGCAGTTGCCGGAGGTAGACGTCATTTTCAACCCTTCTCGCAGCAGCAGCTGGTACACTTCTTCTGCCCCGTTCAGGTTTAGCAGTCAGTGATAAAAATCCTGGGTAGATGTCCGTTAGGATTGGGTTTGCGGTTCGAGTATTCCTTGAAGTCGATTGAAGGCATGGTTGTAGGGCAGACGTAGGGAAAGGCTGAGAGGCTACTGACGACGTAAACCGGTGACAAATCATAGACAACACCGACAACGCCAAACAACACGAGACGGGAGTTATGCAGCCGAACGTTGTGCCGATTGCCGCATTTTTCTTCTCATTTCACTTGTCTCACCGCTCTTGAAGCCCCTCTGGAGAGGCGGTATAAGTTTTCTTTTGGTGCATGGATCCTGTGAGGAACAAATGTGGACAAACTGGCCAATCGAATGACTTTGGCGGCGATGCCTATCGCCTCGCAGTTCTTTTGTGCGTGACTGGTAGCATTTCCTTCCCTTCGGAATGAATCATTACGCAAGCAGAGGGAAATCCGGGACTCCACATATCCACCCTGTGACCCAAAATTTGGACCTCTTGTGGCAGGAACTACTTTTTCCCACAAATTTCAAGTGAATCCTTAAAAATGCTTTGACGATCTCTTCCACCAAAGTTTACACATTTAAAGGGACAAATCCTTGAATGTTTTAAATGTGCATCTGAATTTTACGGTCTAATATTCCATTTTAGAATGGGCTTTGACTTTTTGCCCCACTTTCTTACCACGTCTCAACCGAATTCTTTCGTAAACATTTTTAAGGGCGAAGCTAATCCTTTCCATAAGAAAGGAGAATTGAGCCATTGAGAAGATAAAATGGAAAAGAAATTGGAGAGGATAAGAGAAAATAAAGTGGGGTCATTGAATTGGGTGGCACCGGCTCTTGAAACACGGGGAAAGGAAGAACGGCTCTTCTTTGCGCAGTCCCTTGGGTGCGCTCGTAGTACCATCTGGCAGAAATGCCCATAGTGTCCGCAGTTATTGCGACAAAACAACTTGGACTTCAAAAGCATTGTCAATATGGAAGAACTGTTCTAGTTAAACCCGAGGAAAGCTACCGTAAAACTCAGTCTGCGTCAACTTCTTCAAACTGTTTTGACGCCTCCGCACGATTTCGCGGTCGTTTCTGCGTTGATCAGGCATCCAGGGTCGGGCGTTTAAAGCTACCATGGACGGGATCGTCAAGTGAGACCGCCTATGCCACCAGTGAGCAGATGAGCGCCCCATCATCATCACCATCACCACCACCACCACCACCACCATCATCATCATCATCATTTGTGGACTCGAATAGATAATCGTCGGTTTGACGCTTGCACGAAATACTTCACATAGGACCGTTACGTTTGCATGCCTTTTCTATTGTCTAAATGCTAAAGAACGGGGTGGTTGTTGGTATTTTGCCGCTTCTATGACCACTATGGCGCAAAGATTTGCAAGTTCGATGGGTTGCTATTGAATATGACAAGGTAGCTTGTCGATTTGCTTCACATGGTGCGGTGGTAGTTGCAACCGGTGTATCCCCCGCCTTCATTACGGTTGCTTTCAACTACTCCTCCGCCTCCAGTTTCTAAATACTGCTTATTTGTGTCGGGCCTGCTTCTTCCAAAAAACAGCCACTTTGCTGTACTGCGCTTTCGCCTCACTCCTTTGCTCTTCCAGGCATCGGGTTTGAATTGGCCGCGTATCAGAATTGGATCTCACAAGAAATCCTCTTTATTGTTAGTTCGACAACAAACTATTTTTAAGAGATGTAAATAGGAAGTTACTTGTAAACTCAAGGGCTGTATTTGCAATAGGCAGTCAGTACAAAAACTAGGATGTAAAGAAGCGTTTGGGTAGGATTGGATGCTCCACCCAAGCGGTGTGTTTTCTTCATTACAACAAAGCAAATATCTTTCCAGGTGGATGAAATTACGTTGAGCAAAAGTTTAGTAGGGACGAAGTCATTGAAAAAGACATTTCACTTCTCGCATCACATACTTTACAGGATGGGGAGCTTCGGAACATACGACAGGATGCATCCAACCTTACCATCTCAGGACCTTGCAAATGGTGAAGTTAGCTGCGTAGCCTGCCCTAGCAACTTGACTCAATTTGGCCGTGTTTCGTGGCTCTACACCCCCTTCTGAGAATAAAACCCAATTCGTGACAGAGTTGACCGTCTCCTCAGCGAAGCGATGTAATTAAAGACATCCACTTTGCATGATCAAATCTGTAGGAACTAGTTTATCCAGATGGGCTTTTCTGTCTCCACAGCTTGCACTTCCCTCTAGGGCATAGTGGTACTCCTCTCACTGTCTACAACCCTCCCAGACCTTTGTGCGGCTGAACGAGAACTCAGCAAGGTGTTGCAGCACATTTATTGTTGAAGGCGAAAGCAAAAAGGCCTGATAGATACGTGCATAATGTTTGATTATTACAAACACCGACACCAAATACCAAAGTGGTATTGCGAATAACAACAAAGGGGGGTGCGAGTGGACCAAAATCAAGCCCCTTCTGGAACTAAGATGTGTCGTAAATACTATTCACACTTTTGTCAAAGGGTAGACATTTGATTAATTAAAAATGAAAATTAACTATTCTCTAATTAACGCCAGAAAAGGGGGTATAAGTGCAAGCTCGTTTGAGAAGCAAGGGATATGCCTTCTACCAAACAAAACGCTAAAACGGGTTCTATGGGCAAGACAATTTGCAGCGCCACGTTGTAGTAAGTCAAAGTGGTGGGGGAGAACGTACTACATACCAGCACAAAGCAAAGATGTAAGGTTGTTAGCCTGGCCCAAAGTTAAACTCGGGGGAGAATGACGCGCCTACTTAGTGGAGAAGACAGTAAAGCCAAGCCATAAATCGCTGCAAAATGTTATGTTGCTATGGGGTTGGGAGGCCATTAGCATGGCTCGGAAGGGGACCTGGGATGATTGATGCGCCCACACAGCTAAGAAAACGTTGTTGCTTGCATAGTACACCTGCTTCACATTTTAAAGTCCTTTACAGTAAATACAACTTCAAATAAGTTCTTTAATACTTCTTTTCTCCCTCATTCTACGATGATGCAAAGGTGCGAATTGAGATAATGTCGGTGATGACCTTTTTTCGCCCTTTATCGCATTTGGGTAGGGTTCCATAAAACAAACGAACACTTTCACAACTTCTTCACTTTTACTGCATCCAAAGGAGGGGAAGAAGAAAGTGAATCTTTTCCCTGACTTAAGGAATAGTTCATTAGCACTATTTGAGGGACCAGGAGGATACATTTCCTGTCAGCGCCAGCGGCCTTTCAGGTTGGCACAAGATGAAAAAGTTACGCAACGGGAATAACCTTGATGACTGCTACATTTAAAACAATTGGGTCCTCTGCCTCAAAAGAACAAATTCTGGAAAAACCAGCAATTTTTCTGCTCTTTCTTTTATTTTTTTCTAATTTTTGATGGTAATTAGAGAGCGACAGAAGGATGGAGGCAAATAATGCAGAGCCTAACAACTTTTGTATGGAATATAAATTAACACCTTATTGCCTGCTGAATTGGTTATAAAAATGCATAAAGAAGAAGTTTATATTGTGTAGGTCTTAAGGTCCAATAAAGCGAAAATTACTCTGATACATTCATGCATGCATAACTAACGACTTGGGTGGGGGTTATGGCCATTACGCAAGTCCTGTCTCACTCGGTGCGCCGACTTTTTTCCCTGCACCACCTCAAATCAGTCTTGTTCATTCTTTTTTACTTTCAGGCCTTATTTTTTGACGAAACGGGGAAGTATAACGCCAACTCAGGCTCAATCTTCTTGCCTGCAATTGTGAAATTAATTACTGTAGGTCGAAATTTAAATTACGTTGGTTGCCACGGCATGGAAAAGAGAAAGGAGGGCAATTTATAATACTTCCATTGTTATATGGCCAAGTCCAGCATTTCGACCGTTTGGGTAGCTCCGAAGTAAAAGGGAGGCAACAACGTTTGTGGTCAGGTGTTCTGTATCCTGATCTACGACTCTTGTGTCTCCATGAAAAACACAAAGTGGGTATTCAATGGTAATGACGAGTGCCTCAAGGAACAGATCAATTAAAGAGGCATTCTGTAGTCACTTAACTTCTTCAGTCACCTTGGGGTTAGAGCTGAGTGTTGTGGCCCCAAGCAGCCAATCGCATTTAGGTGACATTTGAGAAGCCTCCCCTGTGCCTTAGTGATATCCCATGGTGAGTCCATTTTAGGCTTTAGTAGCCTCCAGTGAATTGTGTATAGCTTCTTAGAGTGCCATATTAGGGGAAGATCTATCTGTGGAAGCAGTATGGAATAGGAGGGTTACTTTGAATTCACCATTTCCCATTGCAAAATTGTGGAGTGAGAATCCATGGAGTACAGTTCGCCATTGATGTAGGTATATCCTTCTTTCAATGGTTGAGTTAATGAGTACTTAACCATCAAACAAGCTATGCTTGAGCCTTCTGATTTCATGAGTGTCTGCGGATTGTGGCATTACGCCTTTGTTCACAGGAGACCAGTTCCCTCGTCACCAATTGATGCCTGCTGCTTGGACTCGGCTGGATTGACCCACAATGCTCGTGCTGGTGGCTCCTTGGCCTTGAGTTTTGCCACTGAATGACTACTGTTTTAACTCCACGAAAATTGCATAGAACTCCTTCACAGACCCCCACTTTGCCAGTCCCCAAACCCTTTCATGCGCTTTCTAGCACTGTCCTTCGAGAAGACTCGGGTACTACTCTCGAGTTCCTTGCCATTTCAGATGGCTTGAAGCAACGCTCTACTCTCTGGGTGGTTATGAGAGTTTCCCATTTTGTTAGTACCTTCCCCTCCACCCCCATGAATAAATGTAGTTTTGGGACAAAGGGATCTTTCTTGCACACCTTTGCCATTCCCAAGGCACTGTTGTAGGTAACATTTAGCCCCATGAAATGCCTCCTTGCCAACGAGGCCCGAGTTGACAATAAATGAGCGACGCACCGAACCACCCGAAGTAAGTCAACTGTTGTACTGGGCAAATGCATAATTATCACCAATAGCCCTAAAGAGGTCTTCCTGCCAATCGTGAGACAAGTGGGCCAGCCCTTCGTGGCCAGAGGTACACTCTCTCTCGCACACACGGACAGCACAGCCATTATTTATTTAGTAAAATAAGGCTTAGAATGACAATTTTTGTAAGGAAAATGAAAAGTCATTTTCTATATGGGAGATGGTGATGACGGCTTCATAGTGCGTGATTAAGGCTGTAAAACACAATTCACAAAGAACCAAAGGTTTTTTGCTATGGTGAATCGGTCTAAAATTTGGTGAAAATCACAAAAGAAACATAGTTTGGGACGCCGAATTTCTTCCTTGTTTGTGTTTGGCGGAACTCATTCACCCAGTGGTGCCACGGGAATGGTAGTCTTTGGATTGTCTGCATGCACTAAGGTGCAGATGGGGCTATTTGCAAGAAGGGACTTGCAAACAGAGCGTAAGATGGGCCGGGGTGGCAGGACGACTTTCCAAATTATGCGGCTCCTATGCTGACCCCACCTCTTCATCATTTAGTAGCGCCTGAGACAATCCCGCCGACTACGAGTCCACCTCGCCTACCTTAAGAACCAACTTCCATGCAATTCCACACCTGCAAAAACTCTTCTAGATTCTCAATTCTTCTACGGCTTTCAGAGGAGGTGTGGTGTGTTACGGCATGTAGCAGTATGGTGACACCGTTCATACCAACCGCACCCGCCAGAACCACTTGCTTTGGCTAAAAGGCTGTGATTGTCTTAACAATGCACAGCAGAGGGTATCTCTGTACTTCTACGTGTCGGTAGTGGAGAATTGTCTGTTGCTATTGGTACGCTGAGTGGACGTGAAGACGTGAAGAACAACTTTGATCTGTTTGTCGGGTGAGTGGTGAGGAAACAACCCGGTTAGCGCTAACAACATCTGAGAAAGGGAAGTCCAGGAAACTAAGGAATCACACAAGCGGTTCCTGCTTACACTCAATCCATTAGCAACAATTACAGCAAGCATGAAGCACTGCCAATTTGAAGTTCCCCATCGCTTCCACGACGTTGAGGAGGGACGGTTTGCTGACTGACCAACTTACTGACCGACTAGGTGACATGTAATGGGAAATGTAATTTGTGCCTCATTCTTATTTTAATCCTTCATTCAACAGACGAGTTGGCGCTTCTCGATGCTCCACTCTATCCACCCAACACCATGCCTGCTTTGCGTGTGATGAACTGGCGACGATACTGCTTGACGAGAGCGACAGATTATGTTGATGATGATTTACCTACAAAAACATCTCACTAACT